CCCAGGCTGGGCTTCAACTTTTGATTCTCCTGCCTCGGCTTCCACGAGTGCTGAGATTACAGGTGTGAGCCACCAGCCTAGGCTCAGTGAACTAACTTCTATATGCCAACCAATCAGCAGCCGTCTCTACTTAGTAACCACACAACTACTGGTGATTTCAACTTACTATTCCTGCCTGTCTGAGCTCTGAATGTCCAAAAAACTATGTATTATCAACTCAAGGAGAATGCGCTTGCTAACAAAGCTTACTTGGTTAAGTAAGTCATGAATTTAGCTTTGTGATTTTTGTTTCAGATACTGAGTAGTCATTTCTTCCTTGGATACTATAAATGCTTATAAAGGGAATGTAGTTCAATGGTAGACTTCTTGCCTAGCATGGTCAAAGCTGTGGGTTCAATGCCTGACACCCCTGCCCTAACAAAAGGATATCAAATATGAAAGGAAAGGAAATGTGAAATCCTATTATAAAATAGGATACGTGTTATTTTACCATTAGGTTTCTCAGTTTGAATCTTACAACTAATCCTGGACAACCGAGTCATAATACTGGTTTCCTAAAGTTCACACATATTTTTGGATTCCTAATCATGGCAGGGGGTAACTACACTAAAAGACTGACCCATTTTCTTAATTTCTTTTTCAAACTTTAAGCCTTCATTTTTATTTCATATCATTCTTCTAGCTTTTCCTTAAAAATGTGGCTGAACTTCCTCACTACTCATCAAGTCATATCTGTTCCAAATTATAAACTTATTATTAAACTGGAACAGCAAAAAGTCTTTTAAGGATATGAGACTATCTGGTGTGTCACAGTGTGACAGCAGCTTCTGTAAATGCAGCATACTCACTGGCTGTCAAATGTTTTTGCCTTCAGTACAAGATTTCCCCCTTTAAAGTATTTTTGATTCCTTAATCTTGTTTGATATTTTAGTACTCTCTGACATTTGTGAAGGAAATAAAATTCATTTTTATTCAACTTGAATCCTACATTCTCATTGTGTAATTATCAGCCACAGATAAGAAAGAGTAATGATGATCTCTGCCCCTTGGCCTCTTCTCACAGGCTATAGCAAAATGTGGTAAGATGAGATGACCAAAGTCAAATTGTTGAGTTGAATAAAAGTGTATTGCATTTGTAGTCTCTCTCCCCAGTAATTTACAGTGAAACTAAGACAAGGCTTTAGGGCAAAGAGCAAACACAGGATGAGGAAACCTGAGGCCTCAGTGAAGCTGAGAGTATGGCTGTGAAACCCCTTGTTTCTGGGTCTTTGAGACTGCCCTTGAACTCACTCTGTAGCTCAAACTGACCTCAAACTGCCACAGCTTCCAAAGTGCAATGGTCTAAACCCTTTGTTTAGATAGGAGAAAGACTGAGAGTAGTACTGTTATACTGAACTTTTTTTTTTTTTTTGGGGTACCAGGGATCGAACTCAGGATCTTGTGCTTGGGAGGTAGGTGGTGAACGACTGAGCTGAATCCCTGGCCCCGTGAACTTTTAAAAAGACTAAAAGTAAGCGACTGTGGCCTTACAAGCAACCTAAGGCCAAGGCTTACTGTGAAGATATGTGTAGATGTGCTCTTATCTAATGGAGTAGATTACACAGGGATTCATATAAAATTTTAAATGTTTAAAGTGTTACACCAAATCCAGTACAGAAGGGCAGAGGTAACAGAAAATGAAAAAGTGGCTTTGAACCTCTATGGCATTTTTACAGGCATGAAGCTGAGGAAAATGCTCATCCGCAAATACTTGAGGGCAAAGGAAAGAGGACTTCAAGGGAAGTACACAGGATCCAGGCTGCTAGGGCCTGTACAGGAACTGGCAACAGAAGCCAACTTTACTTAAGAACATCACAGACTAGGGGCACCTTAGAGCTTTCCATTTTCCCTCTTCTTTATCAGAAGAGCCTGTAGCAGTTACACAATGTCTTGCTAGCACGGTGTGTTGGGTATGGGGGATGGATAATGTGTCTGTAAATTTCCACCTCTTTAAATTGCCTGGAGTGATAGTCAAGAAACTGCCCCAAAGACTACACTTGAGCAGCTTCACACGCATCTTGATTTGAACTGGATGACTGGCTCCTGGAAGGTTGGTGCCTTACTGGAGTAAAATTTGGGGGTGTTTGGAGTGGAGCTGACTGTATTTTTTCATGGGACAGAGATGTAAACTGTTGCAGGCATTTGATGGAGCCACAGACTAATTTTTCCAAATATGGTTGGTTGTACCAATACATTCCACTGCTCAAGTTTTTACAATGTGGTGCTGTCACTTGTCTATTTAGAGGTAGGGTTGGGGCCAGGGATTTAGCTCAGTGGCAAGTGCAAGGTCTTGAGTTTGATTCCTGGTACCAAAAAGACAAAACAAAAAACAAAAACAAAGAGGTCGGTCAATATCTCCCTCCTTGAGTCTGGGTCAAACTATGGCCACAGCAGAAAGGATGCTATATGACTTCTGAGGTGTCAGGAAGGATGCCTATCTTGGACAGTTTGATGCAATGTAAATGAGTTTAAGACTGCTTATTGCCCTACAGTTTAAGTAAGCCAAAGGGAAATTTTATTCAATCATCTTTGGAGTCACCATCAGAAATGATTAAAATATATTTACTTATATAATCTCATTTTATCCCCATTTCATTTTCCTCTGCTTATAGTTTACTAAATAGATTATAATTTTGTATTTAAGATGATATGTACCTTCACATTTACGTTTTTCCTGAAACAGCCTAGCGATGTTCCTCAGGCTAGCCTTGAACTCCTGAACTCAAGTGATCCGCCAGCCTAAGCCTCCCAAGTACCTGAGACCATAGGTACACACCACTACCACACCTAGCTTGTTTTTCCTGAATTTTGTAAGGAATTTCCACAGTGCTCAAAGCATTTGATCAAGACAGGGAGACAATACACATTTTAAAAAGCAGTGGGGAAGCAAGTGAGCCAGAGAGAGACCTGGAGGACACAAAAGTTGCCAGAATAAACCAAATGAAAACTGAGAAAAAAAACATGTGCTCATATTAATGGTGTTTGAACTGTGAATGACAAAGACTCTTTAATAAGAAAACACTGGCATTCTATACAGACCTCTTCTGGAATACTTGTGTTGAACGGGTCATAGCTAGGAGATGACGTTACTGGAGAAGTAGATGGACTTTTTTCCAGATCACTAAAGCCCTGTGTATCCAACAAAGTGGAGATGGAACTGGAATTGAAGAGGTCTTCATATTCACCATCTTTGCCTAGAAAACAATACAGCAAAAACAAGAAAGATTTTTATGTTTTTGTTCTGGAGGAAAATAAGAATCCGTATTTCATTACACATAAAACATTTTCTTTTGGCCAGGTGTGTGGATCATGCCTGCAATCCTAGCACTCAGGAGACACCGTGAAGCAGGAGGATCACCATGAGTTTGAGGCTAGCCTGAAATATGGAGCAAGACCCTGCCTCAGAAAAACAAAAACCAAAACAAAACCCCCCAAACCCCACTGATTTTCTTTTTGGGGGAAAGCAGTAGGGGGTGTTAGGAATTGAGCTCAGGGCCTCATGCATGCTAACTATGTGTTCTAACTACTGACCTATACCTGAAGTCCTGCAGAAGAGCCAACTTTTCATGCTATCGCTTGAAAATAGTAGTGTGGGACACCTAATAAACAGCAGCTGAAATCTGAGCACTGAAGGCCCACTGGGGCCGCAGAGTGCCCAGCAGTGCTATTCATAGAGGAAGTCATATTTGGTAGGATCACTGACTCACAAGATTGAAAACAACTTTAAAGGTAATTTATTCCAACAAAACCTCATGTATATTGTAAAAGTTGGGGGCTTTATAAATTTTAGTTTAGGAAAAGCCAAGCTGCAGAATACCTAGTACAACAAATTAATTCTGAATAGCAACAAGAAGCATCACTTAGTTACCTAACTTTTTATATTCTTTTTTTTTTTTTTGGTACCAGGGATTGAACTCAGGCCCTTGTGCTTGTGAGGCAGGCGCTGGAATCACTGAGCTAAATCCCCAGCCCCAGATACCTTACTTTTTATCACTGCTGTGCACTGGAAAATACGTAAAAGGAAAATAAGAAAATGAAAAAAAAAGATGGATGACTTTGACCCCTCAAAAGAAGCCTTTTATGGCACTTTAAAGAAAAAAGAGCAATCTACCAGTAAAGAGCTACCATATATTCAGCAAAGCAGCAATTTTGAGAAATTTTTTATACCTGCAGAAATGAAAAGGATTAATTTTTGAAGTTTTTTATATTTTAAGTACAACGATTAAAACTTTTGTTGTTCTTGTTTGTTTTTGAGATGGGGTTTCACTTTGTAGTATAAGCCGGTTTTGAATTTCCTATGTACCCCAGGCTGGCCTTGAACTCATCATCCTTCTGCCTCAGGCTTCTGAGACACCTAAGTAAAGATATTGCCAGGAGTGGTGACTCATGTCTGTAATTCCCACACACTGAGAGGTTGGAGCAGGAGGATCACAACACTGAGCTATACACTCAGCCCTTTCTTATTCTGAGACAGGGTCTTGCCTAGTCCCTAAAGCCTTAGTCCCCCAAGCTTAGTGTTGTGTCTTTACTTAGGTGTCTTCTGGGAGTTTTTGAAATTCCCATGTTCAGAGATGAACCCCTCTTTTTAGCCACCCCAATGTTCTTTCTCTAGGCTTCTCCATCTTGGTCAATGGAACCATCACCTGCTGAGTGGCTGCAGTACAAAAATGTCTTTCTTATGTTCCTCTTTCTCACTCTCCTCTAACTCATCTCACTACCACGTGGAGTCTAACATTGCAGTCAGACTTGGTTCCCCAGATCTTTTCGTTTTTTTTTTTTTTTTTTTTTTTTTTTTTTTTTTTTTTTTTG